GAATGCGGATTTTCACTTCGTCCAGGTAACACAACTGCAGAAAATCCTTCACGGCTTCGAATGACGTATTTGCTAATTTCACTTCCACATCACCTCTTTCAGCCAACTTGTCGTAGAACATTTTTCGGAATACGTCGGCTGTATCAGGTACAAACTTTGGAATATTTTCGATGAAAATTCACTCTTTCTCGCTTTCTAGCTCAATGGTTATAAACATCTTCGATAGTAATTTTTTGTCGTTTTGGTGGATGCTCTTCATCGGTTGCCATTTTCAAGGAATATTTCAAATAAAATTAAAAAAAAAATCATCAAAATATACTTTGTAAGAATTTAAATGAACACAATTTTGATTTCAATAATTGAAACGGGTGTGAATGTTTAAATGAGACTGAATTGAGAGAATAAATCTCGAATTTAATTTGGCTCAAATTATTCTTAAGACACTGGACTCTAATTATTAGAGAGCAAAGTACACAGATACTTAATGACTCACTAGCGAGTCCAAAGTCCGATGCGTCCGATTACCACCTCTCCTCATGAATTTTTGTAGAAAATATATAATAATAACATACAAATATATAATAATTAACGCCTTTAAGTTTGTAAAAAAGAATGAATGAATATGTGCGAAGAATAAAAAAAATCCTCCCCGGCGGGGAATCGAACCCCGGTCGCCCGCGTGACAGGCGGGAATACTGACCACTATACTACCGAGGACTTGTGAATATCAAGTGATCGATTTAATCACAGAACAAATTCACGGTTGCACAGCAATTATTACACATCTTATCAACAAACATGCGGTTGGCGAATGGTTTTAGTAATGTACACAATGTCTGTTGATCAGCTGACATCACAATGAATATTTCGTCGGTAAAATGAAACACTTTATTTTTAGACGGAGGAAAAAAACGTTCGCTTGAAATTAATGCTTTTTTGATCAGTTTGAATAAAATGAGTTTAAATTTCAAAAATATCAAACGAATCGTTTGATCGTTGATAATTTTATTTATTCCACGTAAACCATGAAAATTGTATTCAGTTCTCAAAAATGTCTTTTTGGATCGTTTAGAATCGACTAAAATATAAATGTTTGGAAGATAAATCGTATTTACTCGTGTGGTTTTGGAATAGCAAATCTTTTTACTTTATCACATCAAAATCGAATGTGATTAAAAATGAATGGTTTACATATGTCAACGACCATATCATGTAAAAAGCACCAGTTCTCGTCCGATCACT